GACAGTGCGATGACATGGAGAGAATATGACGGTTTTATTCAGCGTTTAGATTTATGGTACATGAGGCGCGTAAATATATATATATATTTTTTTTTCTTTTTTTAAGTGTTGTCCGCATATTGGCGCGATACGTGTCTTCTGCATGTGATTCATGGTGATAATAATTATTAATCCTACACCCGAGGGAAGGGTTTTATTGCTTTTGTACGACACGCGAGAATTGCCTATGGATATTTTTCGTGCATTTATTTGTATCGAGCTTTTTCGCGCATAGAGATGCTGTGTTGTGTCGTAAAAACTATCATAAATACTTTATTCATACACGTAAGTGTGCATGTACCTACGTGTAAGTCAAATGATTCAATAGTGTTTACGCAATATGATTGCAAAAATCATTATAAAGACTGCAGAATACAAAACAAGAAAATTTGATCAAAAAATCGAAAAATCGAAAAAAGTTATGGATTTGGACAACGAAAATTGCTATATTTATAATCTTTTTTGTAATGTATTATCATATTTGTAATATATAGCACATTTATGTAATTAAATGTAATATATATATCACATTTAATACACATAATCAATTATAATTTTAAATCAACTGCATTGATAAACTATTGTCGTACGTTTATCTTCGTCTCTCATATAGTTAATTTTTCATCATTAACCATCAATTTGGATACACGAGATTTAAATATCTCGTAGAAAACTCGTTTTTCTGGGGAAAAAGTTAAAATTACCGATATACAAACGCGCCGGAAAAAAGAAATAATAAACACGTTCACGACGAAACTCTCGCGTGATTTTATAGCGAGCTCTAAAAATTTATCTTGCACGTGCCTTTTTAGGCTGAGGTCGTTATTTTAACTACCCTTACAGCGGCCAGTCGGGGGTTAATGCGTCTCGTAAAAAACGTTTTTAATCTCGACACCAAAAGTCGGAGGTCAAACTGATTCACGAACTCGACATCTTGAGAGAGAAAAAAAAAGCTAAATAAAATTTCAAGACAATGAAAT